CTGAATATAGGCAGGTTAAAAATATGCCAAGAATATGACAAAAGGTCAGTAACAATCAGGCGAAGGAGACATTTTCTCCCCCAAACTGCCATGGGTATAAACTCTGTCAGGGAAAAAGAAAAAAAAAAAAAAAAAAGAGCTGTCAAGACTTGGTTATCCCTTCATCCCCAACCGCTCGTCTCCATCTTTCGATCCTCCATCCCTTCATCCCTTCTACCTAACTCCCATCAAACCTCACACTGACTGACAGCCGTCCCTGTGAGGCTTCGTTGTCTGGCGAAACAAAAAAAAAAAAAAAAAAAAAAAAAAAAAAAAAAAAAAAAAGGAAAACCTCACACATATGCACACAGACACACACCCACGCAACCATCTGATCCGATGCCGTGACTCCCCGTCAGCGGTGCCGCTCTCGTGTTGTGTTGCGTTCTGACAGGCCGGTGCTGAGTTGTGCTAGCTTGTGAATGTGTTCAGGGCTTCAGGGGTCAGAGCAGCCTCGGCGCCCAGATGTGGACTCTCCCTGACGTGTCCGGCCAAGCAGAAAGCGGCGAGGAAAGAAAAAAAAATAAAAAAACCCCGGCACATGTGCGCTAGGTGATAATAAAGACCTGCGTGCACGTAGACACGATCGGGCACGTTGAGGCGGCATGTGGAATCGTTAAGTTGGCCTAATTAGATGCTGTGAGGACTCAAGCTTGGTGCACAAAGAGGCTTTATATGTAGAAAAAGCAAGAAAAGAAAACGGCTTGCTTTCCGCTTTGTCGTTTTAAAAATGTAAAACAAACTTGCGGCGACAGGAAATGTTCTATTTGTACATCTTTCCCAATGTTTTCGGCTGCAGTCGAATTTTAATATTTCTTCTCGAACAATCAAACCTATGCAGACGTTAAAAGCGCCATTAAACAGCCCAACATTGATTGATGTGCTCTCTGGAAAAAAAAAAAGAAAGCAAAATCCCCAAATTGGCTTCAACATAGACACAGAAACTTTGCCAAGTTAATCGAGGCAGTCAATATCAACAAACTGAAACGGCTAATAAGATGAAAAGAAAAAGGAGATGAAAAGAAATGAAAGATTCGGCCCCATAAAGGCAAAGAAAACAGTCGTACTATTTAAAATCCAATAAAGTTGAAAAATAGGGTGTGACAGAGAGAATACGGCGAGAACAAACATGTACAGCAATAGCAGCAGACTAATCACGAGGAGGAACAATAGCAGAACAAAGTCAATATAATTAATGTGTGTGTAGGTATAGAGGGAGGCTCATGAGAGGGAAGACAAAGAGCCTGTTTTCACTCTTTTTTTTCGTCGTCAAAGAACAGCCGCTGTAGCTGCGACTGTCCTATAAAACCACACTCCCATTTGTTAGCTGAATATCCAAGGTCTGTTGGAGGTCCTGAAGGCCGTTTGAGGCTTCACAGTCCGGGGCGGGATGTGACAACAACCCGGAGATCTTTTTTAGCTGCGCTCCGACTTCGCACATCTTTCAGAAACGCTGCCACAAAGGGCGGCACAACTTCCTGGTGCCTTATTTTTATTTTTTTTATTTTTTAAGCCAGAGCTTCATCTTTCGCAGTGACACCGCCACAATTTCTCCTTCAACCATCACGTCCTACGCAAGAGGAACACATTTTTAAAATCTCAACCGGGGAGGAGGGGGGGGAGAAAGTGCCAGCCGGCTTTAAGCTGTCCACTAAGTCTAAGCTGTATGTCCACGATATGTCTGCGGCAGTGCTTACTGCTCTGTCTGTTTGCTCAGCTTCTGCAAAGCCCATTGTAGGTTGTTTTTTTTGTTTTGTTGGTATCTTTCTCTTCTTTTACCCTTCTTCCTTGAGAAAAGCTCTGTTTTTACCAGCTTTGAAAGAAAAAGAGAAGCTTATGAGAGAGAGAGGGGGGGAAAAAAAAAAAAATAAAGAAATAAGGGGGGGATAGCTTCAACAGAAAGAAGCAGGAGGAAGAGGAGAGCCGCCCTGTCAGGAGAGTGTGGAAGAGTATCGATCCGGGCAGGTGAACCAGTGGTTAGCCTTGGTTTGGAGTGTATGAAGATTAGCTCTGCCTCCCTCTGTTTCTCCCTCTCTTTCTCTCATTCCCCCCCCTTTTTTTTTTATTTTCCTCTCTCTATCTCCTCTTATCGCCGTCCTCTCGCTGCCTGGCTCGCCTCCCTCTGCCGGCCTGCCTGCTGCTTACAAACACACAGCTCATTTCTGTCTGTCGGCTCGTCGTCTTGCCTGCTCGCTGGAGCCTGCTGCTGCCGCCGAAGACTGAGAGGACCTGAGACACGCATGTGGCAGCCTGCCAACCTGTTTGTGTGTTTTGGATCACTGGTGTCTTTATCCAACCAGCTCTATGTGTGTGTGTGTGTGTGTGTGTGGTTGTGTATGCATGCGTCTGAGAGTGCAGATCTGCCGAGCTGTAATAGGGATGAGCACCGAACGTGTTTCAAGTATCTTCTTAATCACACGAGGTCTCCCTTCACATACAAATGTACACAAATTGATTGGCCCATCGATTTTGCGATTCTCTTATGCCAGTGTATGTTTCGCCGCCAGTGTGTGGACGAGTAAATCAGTGGGTTGCAGTTTGTGCGAGGAAGGAAGAATTTGAGAGCTGAGCAGCAACCAAACGAATGACAGCCCCAATCAGTCTTGGTAATTGAGTTATACTTTCCCATTTAACTCAATGGTTTCCTGTGGCCAAGGAGGAAACTTTCTTGCTTTGCATTTTGTTTGTTTTTACTTTTCCGACAAACTTATTAACTCGGAGACAGCCGCCGCCGCCGCCTGCTGAGTTAATGGCAGCAAACGTTTTGTGTTTGTGTTTTAGTCGGTTCAAATGCAGCCTAATGACGTGGAAATAAAAGGGCGGCAGTATTAAATGTATAAATATACCATACAGTGTGCAGCAAACGTGATGTTGAATGTCACTTAAATGTGGAATGAGGTCACAATAATTGCGTGATTTAAAAGTTGACAGATGGGTTTTGTTGGATTATGAATAATCCAAAATACATACTATAGGAAGGCTATATGGAATATACAGGCCCAAAATGCAATGCAGCTACAGTGTATACATACAGGTACGCGCGCTGATAGGGGGGAACAAACGGGTCTGTTGTCCCGGGCCCAGAGTCGGGTGGGGGGCCCAGAACTGGACCCTCATTGAATTATGGATGTTTTTTTCCCCAAAGAAGGGCTATTAATGGAAAGAAACAGTGCAATATTTGAGTTAGAAGTTTCAATTTGTTGTCGTCTGAACTGTCCTTAACATCTTTGGAGTTGCCCTCCACCCCCACCTCCAACATTAAATGGTTTGGCCCCTGATCAACATTTGACGTCCTTTTATTGGAAGTTCGGATTTTGCACTTCAGCACCAAAATGTCCGCTCAGCAGAAGTCTGGTGCTCAGAAAAGGAAAAAGAAGAGAAAAAGAGAGGAAGAAAATAGAGACCAAAGAGATTTGCTTAAAAAATACTTTAAAAAAAGGTGGTGACAACGAAGCTGGAACTCGTAACGTCAACGTAGAGCGAGGTAAGAAACAGCGGAGCCAGCGTTTGCCATTAGCTATGATTAAAATCCTGACAAAACACGGGTTTTTTCTAATATCATCTTGTCCCGGGCCCAGTGAAGGCTGTCAGCTGGCCTGCATACAGGTCCTACTCTCATTTCCAATCAGCCAAACTGCATGAACATGATTATAAAATGAGATGAGAACACCAGAACTTTCTCAGGTTTGGATTGAGTCTATCTGTGTGTCTACATCATGGCTCCAGATGGAAAAGAGTTGCTAGAACAACTGAAAAATCTTATTGTGAGACTTAACAAAGACGGAAAAGGTTAGAAAATCAGTGGAAGCACAGTTGCACCAGTAATTAGGAGGTATAGAACCAAGCCAATAGTACCACTGATCAGAGCTGCAGGTATCGTCCTCCAAAGATGACACCACATATAGTACACTACTGTCACTACCTTTCAAAAACAGATGCCAAAGTGCTTCAGCTTTGCCACAGGGGTTATCGATGTAATTACAAGTTTCTGTGATGACAGTGTGAAGAACATCACATACCATCAACCTCCACTGACGACGTCCGAGAAAAAAACTGAAAGATTAAACTTGGCCAAGAAGCTTTAAAAGAAGCTTGATGAATGTTGGGAGCATTCAAGGTAAATCTGTTTGGTATGAACCTGGTCACCACCACCACCACCACAGTGAATGCATCGTCCTGAGAGTGAAGCACACAGAGGTGGGAGTGTGACGGTGATGATATGGGGCAGCACGAGTTGCAAAAGGTGTTGAAGGGATTAAATATTTATAGATGGCACCATGAATGCCTGTGGATATATCAAAATGCTGGCTGACAAGATGACTCCCAGGCTGCAGGAGTTTGGCAGAAGAGGAATATTCCAGCGCGATACTGATGCAGAGCACACTGCCAAAATCACACAAGAGTTTCTACAGAAGAAAAAGTGAAAACTGCGACCTGGACAAGTAATGCTGCCTGACTTGAATCCAATAAAACATCTTTGGGGGATTTTTAAAAAAGAGAGGCAGAGAAACACAACCCCTCCAGCTAAGAGCAGAACGTATCTTCAGAAATATGGTAACCTCATTGCCGAGGAGGAGCGAGTCTGTCATCAGAAATAAAAATGGACGTATGAGCGATTGAAAAAAATAAAAGAGGTGAATCTCAGTAATGGAGACTTCTTCGTGTGAGGCCTGTATTTTTTTATATAGTTTCATAAGAGCTTCTAAGTTTTAATTATTTGACATATTCCACAGAGGTCTGCTCATTTCCTTCGCACACTACAAACAACATCACGCCGCAGAGCACTTTGCCTGCTGGTTACTGCAGCACCTCAAAGAGCCTTTGATACGATCTCGGCCCTTATTTACTGGTAGAAACCTTTCCTGATGGCCTGCTTTCTCCCATCTCTTTCCTTTCTTTGTCCACCCCCCATCATCCTCCTCCTCCTCCTCCTCCATCCCCACTGCTCCTTTGTCCCGCAGGTGTAGCCGAGGTGATAGTTCTGGTGGGAGGGCGTCAGGCTATCGGGATGAACCAGCGTTCCCTGACAGCCGTCACCTGCTTCAACCCCCAGAACAGTAAGTGGTACCCGCTGGCCAGCCTGCCCTTCTACGACCGGGAGTTCTTCAGTGTCATCTCGGCCGGAGACAACATCTACCTGTCAGGTGAGCTAAATTGTCCACTCCGGCAGCACAATTGCAGCTTTTCTGGTTGCAGTTGGTTAGTGGCGCGGAGCAGGAGGAGGGCGTTGGATGCTACCTGTTAATCACGCCGCAGGTTTTAGAGGTTATCGCCCACGACTGCTTCTGAATGTAAAAATAATGTAAATCAAGTATTCGAACTGTTACTTCAACATTTGCACATTCAAGGACCGCCAGCTGGGGCCCAGAGGAACCCCCCAAAATAAACAACAATAACAAACAAACGTCATGATTTCTTCTTCTCAAAACATTCAAAGTAATTCATATCATCTGGAAACAAAAGGATCATTATTATTATTATTATTGTAGCAGCAGCAGCGATTAATTAGCATATTGTGTACAACAAAAATAGATCCTCCTCTTACATACAAATTGCAGCTTTTATCTCAAGTACATCCATATTAGTACTTAAAAGCTTGTTTGCCATCCTTTGATTCTGCTTTCGTTTAATTTACAGCGAAATCGAGCAAACGTCGTCTGTGTTACGTTTATTCGTCTGGTAATTTGAGCAATCCGGTCAAACTTGATCTGCTTCCATTGTTTTCCCCCCAAAAAAACTAACATATATGGTCTCTAAATTATATTATAGAGATTTTATACTAGATTTACTCCAGACAAAACACATCATGGAGCTCTGAGAAACACTGCAGACCTCCTCTAATCTGACAAATCTTACGTACGCTTCCTGCAGCCTTTAGAATAATTACATTCAGACTTTTTTTTTGTTTTTTTTAACTGGTCATGCTCTGAGTACACGTCAGCCACATGCATGACACACTTATTTTCGTCTTTTCTTGCACAATACATAAACATTTCATCATGACATTCTGTGATTTATCTCTTGACTTGATTTTATTTTAGGGGCGAGCAGTATTTAGGGTTGTTGACAGAGCATGTGAGCAAATCTGTCGCCTGACAGAGCACCGATGCCTCCTCTGACAGCGTGTGATACTTTAAATTAGGACCCGCTGCAAACATGAACTCAATAAATAGTTCCATCTTTTGACTCTATCGGCGAAATTTTGCTGCTTTTGCCCGTCAAAAATGACAAAAAAGGGAAACCTCTGGGGTCCGTGGGCACGCTGGTTAGTGGAATGAGGATGGAATAAATAACAAGCTGACATGACCCAGACAGTTATTGTTATATTCTATTATTAGCCTGATTTTGGTTGACATGTATAGCGGCTATTACTCTGTTCGTCAGCCATTCCTCCCACCGCTTCAGTCCGGAAATATCTCACCAGTTACTCGAGGGATTTCTATTTTTTGACACAGGAAGCATATTAACTTAAAGTTAAGCCCAAAAATGAGTCCTCTTCCACAACAAATTTTGATTTATAGTGAATTTTTACTGCACCATTGGGTTTATTTTGACTGGATGTGACA